CGCAGCCTGCACACTAGAAGCTTTTTAGAAGTTTTAACCAATTACTTTTAATTTCCTTTTTTTAATTGTGATGGAAACGAGCCTTTTGGATCTCCCTGTCGTAGCCCCTGATGTATAGATCGTTCCCCTATACACCAGCTATCGGACTATGGATTAATAAAGAAACCAACACACTCCCGGTCTCCCGGCTCTTGCTTCTTTGACCGTGCGGGAAGGACCGGGGATGACGGGGGGGGGAGCCCCGATGTGCCCGGTCCAAGGGGGGCAGCGGCCGCTGGTGATGGGGGGAGCCCGGAGGGTGCCGGGGGCTCCGCACCGCGCTGCTCAGCCCCACTGCGGGGCACCGGGACCGCGCTGGACAGCGCCCGGCCCCGCCCCTCCCGGCCCCGCAGCCAATCCCGTCGCGGCCTGGCTCCCCCAGCAGCCAATCGCACGCCGCTCTGCCTCCCCCCCCCCCGGCGCTGTCCAGCGCCCGCCGCCGCTTTCAAAGCGCAATTTGTCTGGGCCGGGCCAATCGCGGGGTGCCCCAGCGGCTCAGCCAATGGCGGCAGAGACCGCGGAGAGCGGGCCAATGGCAGAGGAAGCGGCCGCCCGAGCAGCCAATGGGAGCGCAGTATTCTAATGGACCTCATCCTTATCAGAGAAATGTTGGCGCTCCCCAAGCCCAAGTTGAGGGTCCGGTACCGACCCGGCGCGGAGCCCGGGGCTGCACCCCCCGGTGCGGTGGGGATGGGGCGGCCGCTGCGCCCCCCGAGGGCAGCCGGGTGCTGAGGGGCGCCTCGACGGCAGCGCCATGGATGCCAACCTGCCCGGCACCTTCCTGCTCAACGGCCCCGCGCTGGGTCCCTTCCCCGAGGCCAAGGCGCCCGTCTGCCAGTACTCGGTGCAGAGCTCCTTCTACAAGCTGTGCCCGCCGGCGCTGGGCACCCCGCACGGCATCTCCGACATCCTGAGCCGTCCCGCGGCGCCGGGCGGCAGCATCGTCCCCAGCTACCCCCACGCGGGCGCGTTGAACGGACTGAGCTCCACCGGGGTCTATTATGGAGCGCAGGTGGGGGCTCTTCCCAAGGCCGGCAGCGAGTTCCTGCCGCGGGGCCGGAGCTGCTGGGCAGAGGCAGCCCCTGACTGGAGGGGTGCCCGGCAGTGCGGCGGCCGTAAGTACAGCGGGGCCGGGCGGGCGGTGATGGGAGGGAGATGCAGGTGTCCCATAGAGCCCCGTATGTTGGCAATGGGGGGCACTGCCCAGGCTGCACCTTGGCCAGCATCCCATGAGGCTGCCATAGGGATGGTCCCAACACTGGCGCTGATGGGTGGTGGGAACGGTCCAGAGATGATGGGTGGTGGGAACGGTCCCAGCACCGGAGCTGATGGACGGTGGGAGCAGTCCAGAGCTGCGGAGGTGTTGGCTCAAGAGCCGCTCCAATGGGAGAGATTAACTCTTTGCTCAGCCCCTAGGCAAGGACAGGCAGAGCCCATGGTCCTGGAGATCATATCCCACTGGGGTCAGTGCCCAGCTCTAGGCAGCACTGGAGAGAGCTGGAGGGACCCTGGAGCACATCGCATGGGTGGGATGGGGGCACCCCTTGTCCCATGGGGGGCTCTGGGGCTCAGCACCCGCAGCCACGGTCCCTTCCCCTCTCCAGGTGATGCTCTTGGAGCAGATGGGTCGGGCAGCTCAGGTGTCTGCTCCCAGCACAGCTTCGAGCCGACCAGCTCTGCCTGCCTTCCGTCCTGCGTCCTGCAAGGTGCGGGGCAGGGGACGCGGGGTTGGGTGCTGCACGGCTCTGCGGTCATGCGCTGCTGTAGTGACCCCCAGTCAGCACCCATCAGTGCTGTCCTCGAGCAGGACGTGAGCCCCCGGCTATGGGGCCCGCACCGAGGGCAGCTCAGCCCTCTTGGGATGGGGCTGAAGCCTTGAAGCCAGAACATGGGGTTGATGCAGAGGGGAGGCAGCACAGAGAGACTCTGATGGAGCTCAGTGCTGTGGTCAGGGAGAGATGCCCGGAGCCGGGCACTGCAGTGAGCCCTGGTTCTCACCCTCCTCTTCCTCCTCTCCGCAGCCCCTGCTCACCTCGCTGACAGCATCCACAAGAAGAAGCACACGCGCCCGACCTTCACGGGGCACCAGATCTTCGCTCTGGAGAAGACTTTTGAGCAGACCAAGTACCTGGCGGGGCCGGAGCGAGCCCGCTTGGCCTATTCCCTCGGCATGACCGAGTCCCAGGTGAAGGTGAGTGTGGGTCCCCAGGCGCGGCACCGAGTGCACCGCCGTCGGTGGCCGCTAACCCGGCCGTGCCCGTGGGTGTGGGCAGGTCTGGTTCCAGAACCGCCGGACCAAATGGAGGAAGAAGAGCGCGCTGGAGCCTTCCTCGTCCTCGCAGCGGGCGGGGGGCTCTGGCGGGGAGCGGGCAGCCTCTGAGGCTGAGGATGATGAATACAACAAGCCCTTGGACCCCGACTCGGACGATGAGAAGATCCGGCTGCTGCTGAGGAAGCACCGCGCCGCCTTCTCCATGCAGGGCTTGGGCACGCACAGCGGCTGAGCTGCGGGACGGGGCGGCCGCTGCCCCGCATCCTGCGCAGGGAGCGTGGCTCTCGGGGTTGGGAGCGAGCACAAGGGGCAGCACAAGGCGGCGATGAAATAAAGGTCCCGGCCCCAGCCAAGTCCCAGCGCTTGCTTCATGGGGCTGGGGCTAGCACGTATGGGGCAGGGTCAGCATGCCAGGCAGGGGTAGGGGCTGCGGCTGCGGTGTGAGTGCGGGGCAGGAAGAGCCCGCAGGAGCGGGGCTGTTTCGCAGGGTTTCTCCCCTGGTGCTGGGCGTGCACCAGCAGCGAGAGGCGCTGGTTCAAAAGTCACTGGTTGGGGCCTCTTGTTGGAACCTCTTAGCAGCAAATAAATACCATTTATCTTAACGGTGTGCGTGAGAGCCCATTCAGCTGTCGGGGCTGCAGGATTGATGTGGCGTCAATAGCCCTGCTGTGTTTGCTTGCCAAGCTGGTGCCCCCCCCCCGTGCAGGGCTGTGCTTACACACCCATGGGGCTGCACCCCCGTGCCCCGGGCTCCCCATGGCTCAGCCCTTGCACACCCATGGCGGTGCCACGCAGGGCTCGGTGTCCCCCAACAACCACCCGGGTGCCAAAGGGGCTGCTGCGGGCACAGGGCTGGGGCCGTTGTTGAGCGGCGAGCCAAGGGTGAGCAAACAGAGCGCTGTGTCTTGGGAGGAAATCGATAGGAGATAAGGTGCTGCTGGCCCCTCACACGCTGATCCGCACCGGGGCTGGGGGGGTGCAGCCAAAGGGCCCTTCCCTGCAGCCATGGCCAGCACCTGAGGTTAAGCTGGTGGCCAAGTCCCGAAGCCCCCAGAATGGGCTTTGCGGTGGCCTCGTGGTTTGGGGCTGCAGATCCATCCACGTGCACCTCAAGGCCCACATTTGGGGGGCTCCATTCTGTCACGTTCTATCATTACCTGGGCTGGGGACACTTTACAATGGGCCCTGACTATGGGGCAGCACTTTCCCACCACTTGAAGAACACTGATTTCCCCCCATAGCTCCTTGTCCAAGCCCACAGGAAGCATCGTGCTACCCCAACGGGACAAACGGGTGGCAGAGCTGGGGGACCCTTCGCAAAGCCATAGTGGGCATGGGTCCTAGGGGCAAGCGGGAAGATCCACGTCACGGCTCCACGCGGTGGGATGCTGTTGGGGCATTCTTTTGACATTTTCTAAGCTGGCGCGGCGTGGCTGACAATTTTTAATGTACTAACTGCCTGGTCCAGTGAGCTGATGGATTGGTGCTGTGCAGATCAATAGGAAACAGAAAATTAAAACAATTTTAAAGTGATTAAGTACTTTAACACCTGTCTGATGCCACGTCAGGGCCGGGAGACAAATAAAGCAGGTGGCAAAGGGCCTGCTGCAGACACGCAGAGTGACAAATCACAGCCGCATCCCTGAGGACGCAGCGGCACCGAGCGGGTACCAAAGGGGTGCGGATGCACCGTGGCCCTGCAGCGGCAGCAGCGGGTACCAGCACAGAGCCCGTGTCAGCGATGAGCACCAGCTCGGGCTGCCCCAAGCACACCGTGGCCCCGGGGCGGGCGGGTGCAGCAGGGCCTGGCAGGCAGATGGATGGCAGCTCCGCTTCAATTCCGCATCCCTTTTCGCGCAGACAAACCCCGTCGGATTTCCATAAATCAAAGCGCCACACTGTTTAATAAAAATTTATTGACTTACAAGTGATTATTTATCAAAAGGCCATTAATAGCGGCTGCGGGAATGATGTGCTACTGGGTGGTGTGTGGAGACTAATAGCAAATCAATGCCAGCAGCCCGGCAGAATGCATATGAAGGCCCCCAGCCCCAGCGGGCTGCATGGCTGCTGCAGCCGGAGCCACCAGCCCCTACCCCGTGGGCTGCCCCGTGCCCCCCCCGCCCCGTTATTTATCGCTTACAAATGAAATGATCGATACTTTTAATCTAGAGCTAAATTTATTAACTTTCTCACCGGAGAGAGACGTTATTGAGTGGGGGCGCGGGGAGGGGGCGCGAGGCAGGATGGATGGATGCGTGCCTCCTAACCTGGCTCCCTGCGCGGCTGATGGGGATGGTCCCCAGCGCAGCGGGACCCGCAGAGCTGGAGATGCTCCAGCACATCCCCGTGGATCTGTGGCAAGGAGCACCCAGGGGGGCTGCTGCAGGAGTCCCAGCAAAGGGGGAGCAGTGGGGCCAGTGCAGCAAAGCTCAGGTAGGCAAAGGCAGGGTTGGAGCATTGCCCCTGGGGTGATCTACAGGTATACTGTGGAGGGCAGGGCAAGCAGAGGGCTCAAGCAGGCACTGGAGCACATAGAGCTCCTATAATGTGTGGTGGAATGGTCCAGGTTAAGTCCTGCAGGTAACTCACACTCCAGGTTAGCTCCCATAACGTGTTTCCTATGCAGATGAATGGTGATGGTCAAAAACCCAACTGCCAAGGAGCTAAGGGCTGCACAACAGCCTCATCTGGTAACAACCATGGATGGGGGGCTTCTGAACCCGTGGTGGGAGCTGGGTAAAACCAAAGTGAACCCAAACCCTGGTGAATAAGCCCCTAATGCCACAACAAACTGATGAGGCAACGGAGAGTGTTAGCAATGAGTACAGGAGCATCAGCAGCACACTTCAACCCACTGGTGCTATCATGGTCTAGGGTGAGGCGTCCCTGCCCATGGCAGGGGGTTGGAACTGGATGATCTCAAGGTCCTTTCCAACCCAAACCATTCTGGTTCTATGATTCTATCATCTGCTTGGTTTTATTGCTCTGGGTTTGGTGTCTTAGGTGGAAAGGAAAACTGAATGCCACGTCTGTGCAGGTAATGCATCCCTCTGCGTAGTTACCTAAAGAATCATACTTTGAGCCCTGCAAGAAGCAAAAGGGAATCAGTTCAGTATAGAAATATCTCCCCAATGTTAACAGATGCAAGAGTTTGTAGGAACATAAGGAAAATGGGGAAGTCCATGGGATGGATGCTCAAACGTGAGCTGTTTTACTGAGCAATACACACAAGGGGTCCAACCTCCAGCACAAGACTTCAGTTTCCTTGCAACAAGCTGAGATGATGCCTGTGCATGTTGGTGCTTTACAAGATCAGACCCCACTGTTTCCCTCAGGAAGCACTGGGAAGGGGGGCTCCTGCCCCACCACTTGAGGAACCCCAGCAAAGAGGCTGTTACTCAGATGCTGGTGCAGCAAAGGCCTGGGCCAGGCTCTGGCAGGAGGTGGCCAAAGGGAAAAAGAAAGGAAAAGGTTTCTCCTTTTGGAAGTAAAGCTGGAAATGGCCTCAAAGACCACGTCCTGCTCCTAAGGAGCTTCTGCTGCAGGCGTGAGAGGCGCAGGCTCATGCAGAGCCCCTTGGCTGTCAAGGCAGCTGATTCCAGTGCAGTGATTGCCACTCGTGCACATCAACAGCAGAGCCCCCCCGGCCCTGCACACACCACATGGAAGCGGACGACCCCAGAAGTGTTTCATTTAATACTGGCCCCCTCAAGGGGCTTCACTGTAACAGTAACAAGAAGGCATCTTTGCCACGAGCTGCCCAGGGCGCCGGGGCTCCAGGCAGCAGTAATGGTGCCTCTGGGAAAGCACAGCCAGAGGATGCAGGAGCGAGTCCGAGCAGCCAAAGTCCAACGATGCAGAGCTGCTTCAGGCGAGCCCTGGCTCGTGCTCGAGGCAGAGGGCTCTGGCCAGGCCCAGGAGCAGCGTTGGAGGGGAGGGCTCAGGAGCGGCTCCGGTCTTCGTGGTTCCCTACAATCATTTTGCTGTAGAGCTTCTGCTGCTCCTCCTTGAACGTGTCCTTCACCTTCTCCCTCTTCAGGCCTCCATCCCTAAGGGGGAGAGTCAGGCCATGAGAGGAATCCTCAGCTGGGGCTGCTCAGAGCAGCTATGCTTGCACCTTTCATTGCCAGGGCCCCTGAGGACCAACTGTCCCCAAGGGCAGTCATGTTCACACCTTGTTCTGCCCGGAGCTCCCCCATGGCCCCACACTGTGTCCTCAGGAGCGTGAGCTGCTCTGACACCACTGCAGCAGAGTCCCTCTGCCTCCCAGGCACCCAGCATCTCAGTGCATGGAAAAGCCCACTGCACTTTGCTGAGCAGCATCGAGTCAAAAGCCAGGCATGCCAGTGACAGCTGGAAGGGCAGAGTGAAGCCATGGTGCCCAACACACACAGCAGAAGCAAAGGCTTTGCTCCCTGCTACAGAAGAGCAGCTTTGGAGGCCACAGGCAAGGTGTATCTCCATTTCTGCAGAGGCCTACTCTGCCCAATGCAAGACAAACAGCTCTGCAGCCCTCAAGCACATACCAGGGCCCAGGCACAAGGAACCCCAACACCAGGAACAGAAACTCTTTCCTAGACTCACCAGAGCAGATCCACGAGGCCCCCCTGCCTGGCAATGGCTGACTTCACTCGGTTGGCAAACTGGACAGCATCTTCTTCAGGCTGTGGCAAAGAAAAGTGGTTCAGCAGGAGCACAAGAGGCAGCAGATGAGGGAGCCCAGCATCACCAAACTCACCTGCCTGGTCATCGGAGGCAAGTACCAGACACTGCAGACGATGGCCCAGCTGGTCATCATCCTCAGGAGGTAGGTCACCATGCCATACTTGCTGCTGTTCCAAAAGGCATCTCCAAACTGCGGGTCATACTGCACAAGGCAGAAGAGCTCCTGAGAGGCTGGCACCCTCCTGAGGCTCCAGGTTCCCTCTAAGCCCTCCTGGAGCCCTCCACTTCCCCGTGGCCTCGGACCAGGCTGTTGAGCCACAGCCTGTGTGTGAGTAAGGACGTTTACCTTGATGGCTACAGGGTAAACCGTGGCTCCAATCTCAAAGCTCCCCTTTTTGAACATCATCACGGATGTGTTGTTGATGCAGGTCCCTGTAAGAGGCAAAGCAGTTCACAAGGCTAAGCTATATACCCACAGGCACCCAGGGACCACCCCCTAACACACCCTCCAAACCCTGCTCTCTGTACATGGATGTGTCACAGGGACATCAAGTATCTGACCTCACATTCTGCGCTCAGTCAGCTCTAAATGCCCCCTTTGCCTCAGCGAAGGGTCCCAAGGCCCTTGGCTGCACAAGAAGGGAAGGAACGGGGATGATGATGGCCCTCTCCACCAGGTGCTTGTCTGGCCTTGCTCCACAACTCACCTTCTGGGAAGATAAGGATGGGCAGCTTGCTCTTGTCCTGGACGTGCTCTGTGAGCCTAAACAGGAGAGGGGCACCTATTAGCATGGGGCACAGCGCCACTGCACAGCACAGGCCTTATCCTGGAGACTATGTGGGGCCAGCAGCACAGCGTCCCAGCACCCAGGAGGTGAGGCAGGGGCAGCACCCCCTTTTCCATCCCTCAGACCCCCCCCAGGTTTGCAGCTCTCCCACCTTTTTGCGACGAGGTGACGATCTTTGACCTCAGAGCGCTCAAACCAGACGTGGGGACAGGCCTTGACCATGGCTCTCTGTATCACCCCCATGAGCCCCCCGTGGATCTGACCCACCTGAGCAGGGCAAGAAGACACGAGTTACATGAAAGCACACATGAAAGCCAAGGCAGCTCCTTGGCTTCACAGCCAAGCTGAGGTCCATCTTTCTACCCCTGCCCTGGAACGGCTGAGAGGAGAAGGCCCAGGCTCTGATGGAAAGCCAGATGCAGCAAGCCCCAGTGCTTCCCACACTGCAGGGAATCCAACTGGGAAGTGCTTTGCTCTTCCATGGATAGCAAAGCCCAGAGCTCTACTTGCAAAGCAAAGCCTGGTGCTTTGAGTCCCAGGCTGAAAGCCACACACCACAAGGTATCCGTGCACAGGGGCTGAGACACCCTCCAAAGCCTCTTGCTGCCTACTCCTTGTCCCATGCAACGTGCTTGGTGCTCCTGCCTTGGTGCAGGCAGGGCTGGGGAGCAGAGCTCACCATGGCGTAGTAGCCATCGCTGGCCAGGATGATCACGTCGATGGGAGAGGTGTGATTTGCCACGCAGATGCCTCCGTTGCGGGGTCTGTTTTCTCTACATGCAAAACAAAGGCAGAGGTGAGGAGGCAGGAGGGAAGCATGAGGCCTGGCATGGGGCTGGGAAGGAGCCTGCAGCAGTCAGGGCCTCCTTACCGGTCATGGTAGGTGATGATGGCTGTGAGGGCACGCACACAGATCCGGTAACACATCAGGTGGACGTGCTTGCTCAGGAACTCTTTACACCTGCATTGAGGAGAGCAACCATCACCCCCTGTCCTGCAACACCCCCCCTGTTAACAGCACCACCCAGCCCCAGGCCACGAGATCCAGCCGAGCCTTCCCATAGAAACACATCTCATCCAGGAGTATGGCTCCCATCCCATCCCCTCCTCCCTCCAAGGTGAACTCACCTTCCATTTGGCAAATACCCCACCACTGTAGTACCAGTCACCAACAAGCTGATGCCAGTGAACGCCAGGGCTATCCTGCGGAAAGAAGGAAGCTACGCACTAGTACAAGGCCATAGGTGCTGCTCATCAAGTAGCCTGTCTCTCCTGGTCATGTTGAACAGGGTCCATGGGGCTTGGGGACCAGTTGCACTTGGGGGCCATCCACCAGCCCCATCCCAGCAGGCAGGTTCCTGCAGCACGGCTCACCTGAGGGGCAGAAGGAAGCAGTAACGGATCAGCACACCCAGACCCCAGAGCACAGTGAGGCGCAGGCTGATGTACTGGAAGTTGTAGTTGGTCCTGCTGAGCAGATTCCAGGATTCCAGCTCTTCAGCTGAGAACCTTTTGGTCACTTCATCATCCATGATGGTCTCGATGCCTTTGCGGCAGAAGTAGAAGATATCTGAGAGCTCAAACTCGGGGGTATCCAGGGATTTGCCGCTGCCGCTCCGGCGGAGCTCCTTGATCTCCTCTTCCAGTGATGTTGGCTCCTTTGCAATGATACCTGCAAGACAAGCAGCTCTGAACAAAGTGCTCAAAGACCCTCCTTAGGCTCCCTTCCTTCCTCCAGTCCTCCCAATCATCAAGCTATTGAGCATTCCCTGCGTGCTTCCCACCTCTTCCTTAAGAAATGGACCTCTCCATAGCTCCCTCCAAGCCATCTACATGGAAAAGGCTTCCCAGCTCTGAGACCCCACATTTACCCCATGTGTAGCCACGCAGAGCAGGACCTTACCATTGACATAGGGCTTGTATAACGGATGGTTCTTCTCCTTGGCACCACGCTCTATTCTCAGTGTTGCCCACTGCAAGAGACACACAACAAGCAAGATTCACCAGGCCTGCAGCTCCAATTCATACTAACCTGCTTTTACACTCAGCTTCCAGGGAAGACCATGGGTAAGGGGAGAAGATGGGGCTAAAGCAGCTGAGCATGCAACCGGTGCCACCTTTCAGCCCTCATTCCTTCCAAGCTCAAAGCAGAGACTGTTTTCAGGCTGATGACGGGATGGGATCCATCCATCCTGATTCAGGCACCAGCTGCTGCTGTTCCTCAGCTCAGCAGTCAGGACACAGAGAGCTCGCTGCCAAATCCCGTGCCCCTTATGTGGATAATCCCCTTATCCATAGGAAACTCCCTCAGCCCGTTCTCAAGGGCACCACAAAACCTGCAGGCTGGATTTCTGGCCAGTTTTCCTGCCTGCCCTCCAAGTCACCTCCTCAGCTTCACGCTCTTCTTGGCATTATAAAGGAGAGGAGAACAAGCTTCTAAAGGAGGACGTGTGTGCATCATGCCTATTGCTCCAGGCTACCTGCTCCAGCGGGGCTCTGGGAAGGGGAAGCCACTGGGAACTCCTGGCATCCCGCTCCCAGCCCACACCAGGGTGAGATGAGGAGGCAGCCATGGGGGAATGCTAATGGCAGCTGGCACAGCCGGTTCATCCAGCAGCCTCCCCTGCCAGCAGGAGGAACTGCAGGGGTGCAGGAGCTTGTCCGGATGCGGCCAGCCCAGGAGAAGTCAGAAGAGGAGCTGGGCAGAACACAGCCAGGGATGGGGCAGCCACAGCTTCACTGGGCACCCTGTGCCAGCGCCTCAGCACCCTCACAGGGAAGAGCTTCTGCCTTATCTCCAACCTGAACTCGCCCTGTTTCAGTTTGAACCCATCACCCCTTGTCCTATCATGACACTCCAGAGGACCTATCAGTACAGTTCAGCTCCCAGTTCAGTCACTACATCTGAAGCCAGGACTTGAGGCATCTGCGTTAGCAAAGCACCCTGGCAAGCCCAAGGTCCTCCCATTCAGACCTCAGGCTATTGGGAGGACTCAGAGCTTAAAGAGCTGAATACTGCAAGCTCCAGGGCTGCCTTCCCATTACAGAGATGCCCCTGGGGCAGCAGCTGTACCATAAATCCTTCGTGAAGGACTGAAGGACACATTTAAGAGCCTAAAACCTCCCTATGAAGCACAGGGCACCACTTTTCCTTTAGCCTGAGCTGCCAGGGTGGTGCAGGCTTTAGGTACCAGGAGTTTGGCCAAACTTCTGGCCTCACCAGAAACTTGCTTCAAGGAGAAGTGTTGGCTGGGACACAGGCCATGAAATCAGCCTGCCAAAGGCAGGCAAGGGGCAGGATGAGCCCAGGCTGGAATATTCCACTTGGGATTTTGTCTGCAGACGAAATGCAGGGTCTACAGGGTTACAGACATGAGCAGAAGGATGCTGAGAGCTCTGGGTTCTGCCCACGGACCACTCAGGGCTTGCAGTGCAGCAAGTCCTGCTCTGCCTCCTGCTTCTGCCTCATCCAAACATGTCCTGGATGGAAGCTTGTCCCTCGCCATCACACCCTACACCTTTTTGGCTTCTTTCCACACAGAACTGCCTTGCCTGGGACATTAACCCACCAAAGCACACTCCTCCCCTCAGCACCCTACTGTGCCACTGCGTGCTTATGGGCCACACTCCTGCCACTTCACTTGAAGGCTTATGGATTAATTACAGGGAAACACAAGCCCATGAACAGTGGTTTAGAAACTGCACTGGGCTGAGATGACCCAAATGGCTCACGCGGCACCAGCCCATCACCACCAAGCAACCTCAGTGAGGTGTAAAAGCCTCTCCCCCCCCGCATGCCAGACCCTGCAGAGCACAGAAAATGCTGCAAAAGGGACTTACCTGAAAGATCTTTAATAAGGTTTTCATGTAAACCTTGCGGATGCCAAAGGAGACCCCAAAAATGGCTGGCACAATGATGAACACCAGGAGCAGGGTGAAGAGGACAGTTATGGATATCCCCAAGAGGTTAACAACCAGGCTGTCAAAGGGGAGCAGGAGGAACATGGTGAAGGGCCCAGGCAAGGCTGGTGCCCTGCAGCCAGACACAAGGGCTGCCCGCAGCGCTCACCCAGTCCCCCTGTCAGTCAGCAACAGTCTCACACACACAGCGAGTCCGCAGCCTGCTCCCAGACCCCATTCCAAAGTTCACATCCTTTTGGGGCTCTGCGAGAGCAGGAACGCAACCGGAGCAGGGAGGGAAGATGGGAAAGCAAGCAAAGAGGCTGCCAGGAGCCCCGGTGAGTTCAGAGAGCGCGGGCTGAGGAGCTCAAGGAACAGGGAACACACACACCGGTTCCATGGGCACCGCAAGGACACAACTGTGGGAGCCGATGTCCTCCTAAGGCGCCGCAGCGCAAGTCCTGCAGTGGGGCTGCTTGGGAAGGAGTCGGCAGCTGAATTCCCTTGTGGCTGCTGAGGGCATGCAGAGCCTCTTCACAGGGACAAGGTGGAGTCCATCCCTGAGCCGGCATTGGAGGAGATGGAGGGAGTTGGCACTTGCAGGGCAGTATCTGGAGCTATTCTTGTTCCTTCTGTGAGGACACAGGCACTATGGCAGGTCCCTGCATGACGCCTGCAACAAGTTTTATTCCAGAGGCACCCACGCACGCCGACGGGTCGTCAGAGACAGGACTGGCAGCCGTGCCCCTGGAAAGCTCTTCCAACAGCGGGTTGGCTTCTTGACAGACGAGGCGCTCACATGCCAGCAGCACTAGTGGAGGAAAGAGAAACCCAAGTCAGGCAGGTCACGCAGCTCGGAGGGACGGCAGCAGGCCAGGGACAGTGGGCTCTCAGAGCTGGTCACATCACCCAGCGCGGCTCTCAGGACAGCAGACTCAGGCTGGGCACTCCACAGACTGCCTGGCACTGGCACTGCCTTGGGAATATCCCCCCCCCGGTGCCACTCGTGCTGTGTTTTCATACCATCAGCTCACGGGGAGCAGAACCACGCCTAGAGCACGGGGTGTTGCAGTCGGGTCCCGGGACAGGAAAGCAGCCAATGGAGCGCCGGAAAACCCGTCCTCATGACAAGAATCTTATCACCCCTCTCATTGCAGAGGCATCCAAAGGCACTGAGGAACCAGGTACCCAGATTCCTGGGAAGGCATCACTTCCTCTGCTCCTGTACACGCACCCCACCACAGTCACTAACAGGAAGTTAGCCCAAGGGGAGGATTACTGCTGACGATGAGCCAAAGTGGAACTGGCCGGGGCACCGGGACCAGTCATTGCTCTGGCACCCGGCACTGCAGCCCTCCAGGGGAGGATGCGCCCTGCAGCACAGGGGTGCAGGAGGCCACCGAGCATCACGCTAAGGATGGGATTTAACAGGGACCCGACAAGCACACGGGAGCAGAGGAAAGCCTGGGAACAGCCTCCTGCTCTCCCGTGTGTTCCAGGTGCCGGCTCAGCGCTGCTCTACAGCAATGCCAACACTATCAGTGCTTTGGAGGAACGCGCATAAACCATGTCCGGGGAGAGGCAGCTCCGCAGCCACGTGTGTCCGGGCCCATTACACCGCGCTGTCACCGTGTCCTGCCCATTACACCGCGTTGTTACCGTGTCCTGCCCATTACACCGCGCTGTAACCGTGTCCTGCCCATTACACTGCCCTATCACCGTGTCCTGCCCATTACACCGCGTTGTTACCGTGTCACTGCCCATTACACCGCGCTGTCACTGTGTCCTGCCCATTACACCGCGTTGTTACCGTGTCACTGCCCATTACACCGCGCTGTCACCGTGTCCTGCCCATTACACTGCCCTATCACCGTGTCCTGCCCATTACACCGCGTTGTTACCGTGTCACTGCCCATTACACTGCCCTATCACCGTGTCCTGCCCATTACACCGCGCTGTCACCCGTGGGCACCGGGACTCGTGCTCGCAAACCGGTCGGACCGGCCCCTGCATCCCTGGCGGGGTCACCGGGGGAGCCACGGGTACAGCCCCGCCCGCTGCCACAGCCCCCGGGGCCGGCAGGACCTGCGGCCCGGCACCGGCTGCCTCCGGGCTGCAGCTCCAGGCATTCACCGGGACACGGCCCCCGGGCACAGCAAATCACGGCGGGGCCGGGGCTCGGCCCGGCGACCTTCGGCCTACGGCGGCTCCGCGGGGAGGCTCCCACCGGATTCCCGCTTGCGCTCCGTGTCCGCGGGCCAAGCGGAGGCACCGGGGGCACCGCACGCAGCCGCGAGGGGGCCGGGCCGGGCTCGGTGAGGCGCAGGGCTCCGCGCGGCGCGCAGGCCGCGCTCCCCGAGGCGGGCGCCGGTTAACGGTCCGCGGCCGGGCCCTACCCAGGCGCCCCAGCGCCGCCGGTGCGAACGGGGCCCGGGCCCGAGTCCCGCACGGGGAGCAAGGAACGGGCGTAAGGGGAAGGGGAGCGCGGCCCCGCTCCCGGCCGGCCCGAACGGGGCCGGTGAGCACTCACCTGCCGCAACCGCCGCCGGGCCCCGGCCCCGGCCCCGCCCCTGCCCCGTGCCGTGCGCGCTCCCGTCCGCCGTGCGTGCGCTGGCGTCAGCGCGCCAGCCGCGGGGCCGCGCCCGTAGGAGCGCAGCGGCACCATCGTGTCGGCAGGGGACGCGTGGCGCCGGGGAAGGGGAGCACGGGCAGAGAACAGGCAGAGGCGGACTCGCGAGTGCCATCACTTTATTAACACACACACACACCCCCCGGTACAGCACCAACGACCGGAGGCGCTCCCCGCAGCTCGGGGCCTGCCCGCACGGAGCCCCGCAGAGAAGGGGTCCCGCTGCCGCCGCCCTCACGGCCCCTGCCCCAGCGGCTCCACACAAGGCACTTGGGTGGCAGCGAGGGGCCCAGCCTCGCTCGGGTCACGACCGTTCCTCGTCGCTCTCCTGCCCTGGAGGGCCGGCGGGCAGCAGGCACAGGGGGCAGCGGCTCCAGGCTCCACAGCAGGAGCCAGCTGGGAAAGAAGAACCCCTGGAGATCAGCAGGCACCCGGAGGTAACAGAACCCTGAGCGCATCCTGGGCAGCTGCCCCCTCCCCAGAGACCCCAGTGTCACAGTCAGAGGCAGAAGGGACCTGCACCCTCTGCTCTCCTACCAGTAGGGAGCCTGGGTCTCTACACGCCGCCAGCTCTGCAGGTGGGACAGGACCAGGGCAGCCGCCCCAGGGGCACCGAGGGGCTCCCAGCCCGCATTCTTGACAGCACGGGAAGGCGGGCGGATCACCCCCGTGGGGCAGATCCTGTAGTTCCTCCCGTGGTTGTTGTCCCAGTGGATCTTCTGTCCACACTGGAAGGAGATGCAGAACTCTGCAGCCCTACGGGAGACAGACGGCTTGGGCAGGGAAAGCTCAAAGGAGAAGATGTCTGTGTCAGCCGAGCCATATGTGCTATGTATGTACTGACAGGAGATGTCGCGGAAGCTCTTCCAGCCATCGAAGGTGATGCGGACCATGACCTTCTTCTCATACTCGATGTTTCTGACCTTCACCGTCCCGGACAGGGCACGGTCCTGGATCACACAGTTCTCCAGGCAGACAAGGTTGCTGTGCAGGCGGCTGCGGAAGGCCAGGTAGTCTGCAGAGGGCTGTGGGAAGTCCAGCACATACCTGCACGCTTCTGGGTGCGAGGCCCGCAGCCAAGGTCGGAAGCAGGCGAGGTCAGACAGGGCATGCTGCAGGTCACACAGGTCCTCCTCGATCTTTGAGAAGAAGCGGACGGCCGTCAGCGAGAGCCCCTTTGTGTCAGCAAACACGACCCTCTTCTTCTTCTGGCCCTTGCTGCTCCTGGTGTTCTCCCTCCGCTCAGGCTCAGGTTCCACGCTCAGCTTCTGGTTGAGGCAGGACCGGAGGGGTTTTCGCCCGCGGCTGCCCCGCAGCTCCTCGTAGGAGTTCAGCAGCTTGCGGATGGGGGGCGAGTGGCCCAGGCAGAGCCGCACGGCCAGGTCCACCGGCATGGCTGCGGGCGCTCACCGGGCAGGAGCCTGGAGGCGACGACGGGGTCAGAGGGGGCCCCCACAACCCCCGCTCCCATCGCCTCCCCGCCCCGCTCCGCTCAACTCGGGCAGTGCGGTCCCGCGCACGCCGCGGGCCAGGACACCCCGCGCCCGCACAGGAGACCAATCAGCGCCGGAGACACACCCCTGGCGCCCAATGGGAGCTTGGTCCCGCCCCCGGGAGGCCCCGCCCACCCCGCGGATGAGCCCGGGGGACGCGGCCGTTAACGGGGCACCGGGACCCCCCCGGCCCTACCGGTAACGCCCCGGCTGCGGGCCTCGGAGGAGCAGCGCGGAGGGAGCGCGCAGCACCGGGCTCCTGGAGGTGGGTGAGTGCGGGACCGCGTGCGGGGCAGGGCCCTGAGGAAGCTGCACGGAATTGGTTTTATAGACCCGTCCCTGTGCAGGGGCTGCTCCCCGGGTACCCGAGTCCAGGCTCAGCCTCTGCCCCAAAGCGAGTCCGACTCAGTCGTGTCTTACCCCAAATCCCTGCCCTGACAAAGGAATCCACTGGCCGCGGAGCTGGCAGGAGACACCGCGGTGTCCCTCACTCCCAGCGCTGTCCCAAGCCACGGTCACTGCCCGGCTCACATGTGACTCCTTGACAGAAAGGACTATCACCTAAATCAGATCACCCCCGCCCTGTACCACGGCTAATCTTTGCAGAGCCATTTAAGTTAAGCAGCCCTGACTGTTCCTGCTGACAGCACAGATTTCCATCAGCTCATGACACAACCTCCTTCTGGGCATTTACACGTGGCTCCCCATCACCATCACGACCTGAGGCACCCCTCACAGGATGGCTGGAGGAGCAAGCTCCAACCCAGCGCTCGGCTGGCAAAACGCTCCTGCTCTGCCCTGGCCAAGGCAAAGAGCAGCGAGAGTCGAGGGGAGCACCCCTCTGGAAGAACATGTGGCACTTGTGTCACTGTTGGCCTGGGGTGGAGCAGGACAGTGACCTTTGTGGGTGAGCAGGAGCCAGACCCACCGGTCTGGCTGGGCTGCAGGGCTGGAAGTGTCCTTCCTTCCACTAGAGCAGCTTGCTCCGAGCCCCATCCAACCTGGCCTTGAACACTGCCAGGGATGGGGCAGCCAAAGCTTCTCTGGGCACCCCGTGCCAGCGCCTCAGCACCCTCAAAGGGAAGAACTTCTACCTAAGAGTTCATCTCAATCTCCGCTCCGGCAGGTTAAAGCTGCTCCCTTTGTCCTGTCGCTACAGGCCCTTGGTGCCAGCTTTAACGTGGGTCTTGGTGCTAGGAAAGCAGCAGTACATCCTTCCCCTTAGCCCCTCCACTGTAGTGACCTGGGGGAACCCTCACAGCCAGGAAAGAGCCCCCCCCTGCAATGGAAGCACTCACCCCGCCTTGTCCCCTGCCCTCAAGAGAGCAGATCCGGCTCAGGGAAATCACAGCTCACCAGCAGTGCCCTCCTGGCGACCTCTGTCCCCATCCACCTACTTTGTGTTTAGAGCTAATCACTCAGTAAACCCAAGCCACCTCCACCTTGAGGGTGCAGAGAACAGGGGATGTAGTTGAGCCCTGTGGAAGCTGGAAAAGTGGCTCTCACTCTGCACTTTCTCTCCCAGAGACACTGATTAAGGTGGATGGACTGCTGGGTCTTCTCCATCTAAAAGCACAAGCCAACAGCATCACTTCCTTGACAAAGACACTTCCACTTCTCCCAGCACAGACAGAAGCACTGTAAGGCAGTATCCATGCACAGAAATGTCCCGGTTTTAGTCATGGGAGGACACAAAATGCAGACAGCAGCATTCTTGGGTACACCACAAGAGAATCTCACTGTGAACCTGACTGATTCCAGCCTCATGGCCATCCTCAAACCCCTGTACAGGCTGTGATGGCACTGCCATGTGCCAACTGAGGGGCTCCAGGGAGGAGCTGTACTGACTGCACCCTGGAAACCAGCAGATCCAGTTGGGATTCAGCTCCTAGAAGGGCACAGGCGCCCTTTCCACTCCCACTGGCTGCAGCCACAGGAGACGCAGCAGAGGGGCAGGTACCAGTGGTGTGGACAATCGTTCAATCAAGCTTAATAGGGCCAAGGAGAAAGTCCCCCAGCCATGCCACCAGACACTGTCCTCACAGCTCTCCTGCAGCAGGGGATTAGTGATGACTTTGCCTGGGAGCTTCAATCACCTCTGCAGAGCTGCAGACACGGGCAGGACCTGCAGTTCTTCCTCAGAGACTGTCCTACTGATTCCACAGGATTAAACCCAGCCTCCTCTTAAAGTCTATACTTACAAGAATCTTCTTTACCTAAATGGATTCATTAGGAGCACTATAAACCACACATGCAAACGAGATGGAGTGTTACCCCCTGCCTGGCAGAGCAGCACCAGGCTGCTCCTCACAGGCCACCATGCAGGGAAGACACTGCCTCAAAGGAGGAGCTGGCTTCACCTCCAACTAGAACAGGCATGCAACAGGTCAAGAGGAGCTTTTCCTCTGTGTGACCAGCTCAAAAGAACTGCTTTCCCCCTTGCTCCAGCAACTGTTTGAGCAAAAGAGATTTCAATAGCAATGAGAAGCTGTAGTGGAAGCCCTCACTCCATCACACACAGCAGAAAGCTGCTTTCTCCTGAGCTCATGACTGCAGTTGCTCTGTTTTAGTGAAACTGGCCACCGCTGGTCTTAAACAAGCTTCAAAGTGAAGCTCTGCATTTGTGCTATTGATCCAAGTGCCCCTGCACAGGGAGCTGAATACTCAACTACAGAGTGCTGGCCTGATAAGCAGGAGCACAACTAACATACAAAGCAGGAGGTGACACAAAAGAGACTCATATTCTCACGCTGCAGCAAGAGATCATTCTGAAAAAGCTCTGCCAGCCTCCTTCAGTATCTTTCTGAACAACATGAGGCCACCACAAGCTTCAGAGCTCCTCAGAGCTCTTCCACAGCCCTCAGCTGCTGATCACACAGACCACGCTGTCTGGAGTTCACTGACCAAGGCAGCCCTGAGCTAAGGATTAGCTACAATAGTGGTGCAACCGCCCAGAAGTCAGGCAGCTGAAAGCAGCAGGTTGGAAAAGGCTGGAAAAGCATCAGGGCCTCATGCCCCCCCTCAAACCCTCCATGCTCTGGTTTTGTGCAGTCTGCACGTGCAGTAGGACCACAGATGCAACCACCACCTTTACATGGGCAACACAAAGACCCTGTGGCTCTGGCACAAGCAGCCCAAGAGTGAACCAGCTGCTCTGGTTAAGAAGAGGTTTGTGACAAACCTGTAAATGCTGCTTTGATTGTGATTGCATCATTCACAATGTGACCAGGAGGTGCTCACTGCTCAGCCCAGGGCAAGGAATGCCATTACAAGCATAAGGGCCAGGCAGCAATTCCAAATCCAGGCCTGCTCTGGAGGCAAACATCAGATATTTGCATGGCATGGGCTGGTTATCGCCAAAATGCCAAGGAAAAGCTCCTCTCTGGCCACATTAGACACAACTGTATCCACACTGGGACTGCATGGGCAGAACAGAGCTCATGCAGCCTCCCTTCCCCGAAGGCAGGGCCTTTCCAAGGAAGCACAGGCATGCTGTTTGGCTGCATAACAATGCTTCAAGGGAAAAACCCTGAATTCCTAAGCTCATGGGCATCTCCCAGCTGATAAACTCTTCACCCTCCCTTCCCACTGCAGGGAAGTGGTGCAAACACACAAACATTGGCTCTCCCACGATGTTCCCTTTCCTCTGAGCTGCAGTTTCCATCCTTACCATGTTCCCAATCTCTCCTGCTCCTTCTGCAATAACCAAGATCTGCTCTGCCAGCAAATATCTTTACGTGTGGTGGTTTTTTGCTCAATGCATCATGTGCCAAGGATGGTTCAGAGGAATCCCCCCTCCACCCTGCCTCCGGTTCACCTCAGAGCAATCAGCCAGTTGCAAAACAGCCAGGGTTGCACAGACCCTGTGATAAGATCAAAGCCGATGGGGAAAGGCATAGTTTACACAGCTGGTTGCCACACCATTCGGTCACCAGCTAGCCTCACTTAAAGAACAGTGATAAACTGGAGCAAGGATGAACATACAGCTGAGGGTTTAAAAGAGAGCACCCTGCTATTTAGAAAGGCTGTATTCACCTTTGAGGATGAATGCATTCTGCCCACATCTGCTGCCAAACCGGCCTGGGGTCTGAAGAGGCAACAGTGACACTCAGCCCTCCCCTGGGACTCTCAAGGGGACGGTGGCAAAGCCTTGCTGGAGGGAGTGCTGTGACACAGGCTGCCCTCGCTCAGGAGCCTGGTTGTACTGCAGGCATGTCACAAGCCGTCAGGAGATTGATGAGCTGTGGGGGCAATCAGCAGCAGCAGAGGGAAGATGTCCTGCTGCTTTATTTGCATGCTGTCGAGGGTACCCCTTCCAACACCACCGCTGCCCTGCCCAGACATGCCACATGCAAAGGGAATGTGGATGGGAAGACCCACGGCCCACCCTAGTCCTGGCCTCACACTTACCCTCAGATGAGCTGCACTGCTCCTGAGGCCACCAGTGGGGCAACGACCTTGTAGCGGATGAGATGCTGGGAGCCCTCCTCCAGGTCAATGGTATAATCCCTGCCAGGGACAGGCATGTGCTCAGGATAGCTCTTCCACTGGAACCTGCACCACAGCCAGAAGGGAAGCACCCTCCTACCTCTGCTCGTCAAACTCCGGCTCGACCAGGATGTTCTCCTGCCGCTCCAGCACCCGCAGGAACACGAAGGAGTCCAGGTTGGGCTTTGGAACTGCAGACAAAGGATTGAAGGGACAAGCTCAGCACTGGCTCGCATTCCCCTGCAGGGCTCGGAGCTTCTACCACAGCCCTGCTGCCATGAGATGACCCTGGAGTCAGGATGTACTCACCTGATTTTAGCAGAGCCACCTTCTGCAGGTTGGGTGGCATGTGTTTTAGGCCCACATTTTTCAGATAGGTCTCTGTGTTTGCCATGTACCTGAAACAAACGGTTGGAGCACTCACTGGTTTCATCAACTACAACTCTGCAGGGAGAGCACCAATACAAAATGCCAGCAACTGATGTCTCCTGGCCCCAGGCATGGACAGAGAGAGACAAGACTCATGGCTTGCCCTGGTCACTGACTCAGTGTTATCAGAGTTGCTTTATTTCACTCTGTCCATAAGGAAACCTCCTGGTAAAACCTGTGATTCTCATTGCAAACAGGCTCCAGAACTGTTGAGGGTACCACACCAGTGAGGTCTATAACCTACAAAAGAGAGGGAGATGCATCCAAAACCTACTCACTCTTTAGCAAAAGCAAATTCCTCTGGTGACAGAATGGAAGGCTCCCCTTCGGCTCGAGACTTCTCCTTCTCCAAGACATGGGGGAAAAACTTCTCTATCTGATAGTGAGACAAAAGCCAGGCCTGAAACAGACTTTTCCCAGTTAAACAGGTATCAACAGTGTGATCCTCAGAGGACACAGAGTGAGCGCCTTGTTGAAGCAGGAGTAGAAATGACTCCTGAAGTGACCCTTTCTCACCCCCTGTGCAGCACAGCCTTACCTTCACCAGCCTACACCGCAAGTAGCTGCTGAGCACATAGCGGATCCGTTCAATCTCCATCCGATGAACGCTCACCTTCAAGTCTCCTCCCTTTGCCCGTTTCAGGTTTGCCTCCTGTAAGAACAGGCCAAGAGACATGAAACGGTTGAAATGTCAAAGAAGGACCGGAGAGGACGATGGGGTTTGTGCATAGAGCCCACAAAACCAGGCTGAGCTGCTCCTCTGCACCTCAGAGTCCCCTCTGCACCTCACAGCATCCTCTGCACCTCAGAGTCCCCTCTGCACCTCACAGCATCCTCTGCACCTCAGAGTCCCCTCTGCACCTCACAGCATCCTCTGCACCTCAGAGTCCCCTCTGCACCTCGCAGCCCCCTCTGCACCTCAGAGTCCCCTCTGCACCTCACAGCATCCTCTGCACCTCAGAGTCCCTTCTGCACCTCACAGCCCCCTCTGCACCTCACAGCATCCTCTGCAAGACAAGCCCAGAGAGGCACCCAAAGAGCCTCACCTCAGGGACCCCCACAGCAACCGTGTCCCCCCGCCCCACCACCTCAGCCCCACAGAACCCACCATATGGTCCAACTGCTCCACAACGCACTCGATGATCTCCGGTTTGCTCTCCAACAGCTCCGGAGCGAACTTCTCGTTCAGCCAGGCCTGGAAGGGGCGCGGGGGGGGGGGGGGTGGTGCACACTCTAAGCCACTGCTACGTGCCGCGGCCCCCAGCGAGGACACAACGGCACCGCTCCGAGCCTCCTGCCCGGGGCCCGGCCCACAGACCTGCTCCAGGCTGCGGATGAGCTGCGCCGGGGTGAGCTCCAGCTCCTCGCCGCCGCCGTCCGAGTCCCGCTCCGGCGCCTCAGCGCCCGCTGCCGCCATCGCGCCGCAGCCTCCCGCCACTCGGTGCGGCCTCTCCGCGCAAGCGCGGCCCCGCCCCATCGGGACAAGATGGCGGCTGCCAGCTCCGAGACGGGGTAACAGACAAAGCGGGGTTAAAAATGAACCGAACGGTACCAAAAGCGAACAAAACGATGCCAAAAGTGAACAAAACGGTACCCAAAGCGAAGAGAACGGTGTCGGAATAGAGCAAAATGGTAACAAAAAGGGACAAAACTCTCAAAAGGGGACAAGACGTTGTCGAAAGTGAACAAAACGGTACCAAAAGTGAACAGAACTGTGTCGAAAGCGAACAAAACGGTACCAAAAGCGAACAAAATGGTGTTAAGTGAACAAAACTGTACCGAAAGTGAACAAAACTGTATCAAAAGAGCCAAAACGGTGCCAAAAGCGAACAGAATGGTGGCAGAGCAAAATGGTAACAAAAAGGGACAAAACTGTCAAAAGGGGTCAAAACGCTCTCAAAAGCGAACAAAACAGTACCAAAAGTGAATAAAACTGTACCAAAAGCGAACAAAATAGTGTTAAGTGAACAAAACTGTGTCAAAAGTGAACAAAACTGTGTCAAAAGTGAACAAAACTGTGTCAAAAGGGGACAAATGGTATCAAAAGTGTCAAAAGGGGACAAAACAGTACGAAAAGCGAATAAAACGGTACGAAAAGCAAATAAAACGGTACCAAAAGCAAACAAAATGGTGTTAAGTGAACAAAACTGTATCAAAGGAGCTCAAAATGGTACCAAAAGCGAACAAAACGGTACAAAAAGTGACCAAAACGGTACCGAAAAAGTGAGCAAAACTCCAGAACCGATCCCGAAAGCATTGTGCGTTGACATCCTGCTGCCTTGGGAGGGAGAACGGCCCCGAGAGCGCTCCTTGGCGCGGAGCAGCGCGACCACATAGGACACCAGACACGGTTTAAGAAAAGATTTACTAATCCATTAGTCCTTCTGCCAATATCGCAACAGATGTGAAAGGCAAACACTGTTACAGTTTAGAAAAAAAACAAGTTTTATACAATTAAAATATTAAATATCAAAAGAAACAAAAAAATAATCAGTGGCTGAGTAAGAAGCTGGAATTTCAGATCCAGAATTAGCACCTGCAGTGCCACCGACAGCCAGAGCGCTCCCATGCTGCTTTCCTAGCTCCTTGGATTCCTTCTACAGCTGGACAGTGACGTTCAAACCCTGGACATCCTTGCTTTGATAAGGGAAAAGGATACGATATTAAGCCAGCTTGGTTTGTAGGAACTTTACTTTGGCAGGTACTGCTGAGGAATGTCGATGCAGGGGGGATACTAATGCACAGTTCTACTTGCCAAGAGTGTGCCAGCAGACAGGATTAAGAAACCATCTTACACGATATCTAACAGTTTGTGAAATCAGTGTTTTCCTTATAAATTATAGATAATAAATCCATAAAGAAACAGTTTTACACTTCACATATTAATCAGAGGAAGGGTAGGTGTCGTTATGTTTATTGGTTCAGCATCCATTTTAATGTACTTACTGGCTTCTGAATGAATAGACCCCCTCTTCTGGCGAGCACTGACAGATGCAATAACAGCACGGATACAGTAGTAAAAAAACCACCAGTATTCAAAGTCCAGCTATTCCTCCCCTTCCTAGGGACAACTGAAACACTGAAAACAAGGAACACTTTGCCTTCGGGTTTTCCATGAGAATCAGCACGGGAAGCATTAAACGCTCGTTGCCTTGAGTCCCTTCTCGCCAGGCAGGGGCACTGTGCATCCCCTCACTCCAACACTGACCTGGAGGGAAGGAAATTCCCAACTCCAGCTTGCAGCTTTCCAGAGCTTCTGATGGGCAGAAGGGTTTAAGAACTAGGGAGGAACAGCACTGTGCGTACGTGACTAAAACTAGCCTGCTGCTGGGCAAAGTGCCCCATTTCTTTCAGAAATAGCTTTACCACTTCTGCTTTTTTTCTGGGGGACACCCGCCCCCCTTAAAACCAAAACACACCTAAAAAGTGATCTCATTGTCTCATTGCTTAAAAGTTGGCCACAAAATGGATGCTGACCAGCTGGGTCACCTCACGTGGAGCAGTTTGAGGAAGTTAGTCCTTGTAGTAGATGGCACTGTGGATCTGGCAGCAAAGAAAGGAATGATGCTCTAAAGTAGGAGGTAGGGGAACTTTGATACAGCAAGTCCACTGTTGAGCTATCTGCTAGAAAAGAAGTTTCACATTAGTAGAAAGTATTGCTAAACAAACCCAACAACCCCCTACACAAACCTTGCCGTGGCTGGATTTTGTTATCTTAGGAAGCAGTGGCAGGAAAGGCAGGGTCTGGATTCCATTTGTCTAACAGGAAATAAACCCTTTACTTCTTTCTGCATAACAGGCAGAAGTATTTGCAGCCTTTTTTCTGCACACACTGCCAACAAGCTAGACTGAGACAAGCACCCCAGGCTCTGCAGAGTACCTAAGGCAAGGGAGCCAGTTCAGGTTTGAGCTGATTTTAGCACCATCCATGATTTTTCTCATGCTGTTAGTACAAAAGCTGCTTGGGAATCCAAACCAAGGAGTTAAATAGTGACCTATTTTGAAGTCTAGATTTGTCTTAAGTTAGTCTGCTCAGAACCTTACGACAGACTTCATGACAATAAGAAAGATCCTTTTATCTACACACCAGAGGACAATGCTGGACATGATACAGCACTAGTCAGGTTTATGCATGCTTATCCAGTCAAGACCCAAACGTCCCTAAGTGTGAATGTGGTATTGTCTGATCTGCATTGATGTTCAGTGACATTATGCCAAGTATTGATATTTCCACTCATTCAGAAAAGCTGGTCCACACAAGATTTGTGTGAACAGCCTTTCATTACACACCATTGTGCCTCAGTATGACAGAATCTACTCCTCTGAGCACAGAAACCAGGTTGAGATGGGTTGAGATTGATCAGGTTAACATGTACCTGAGACTCCACAGTTTTATCTTCCGCTGGTCATACCTCTGTCTTCATAAATGGTAATTTCAATCTGCACAGAAAAGCTGTTAGGGAAACATACTATAAAAAGATTGTGAAAATATAACCAAAAAGAGGGAATAAGATATTGGAACCCTTGATCTTTCAAGGCTCATTTCCAGAGCTACAAAGCAAACAGAACAGCACACAAGAAATGCCAGGTTAGGTCAGTGTGTCCTGACAGCAGGAACACAAGATGCTGCATGGGTTTGAGCCCTGCCACCTTCTATTAAACGTCAGGAAAAGCCATGCAGTAGACAAAACACTTCCATACTCCAGCTACTTAAGTCACTAACCAAATGGAAGATGCTTTTACTGAAATTGAATGGTTTTGGGGTTTTGCTGTTTGTGTTTTCCCAGGTTTATGCAGAGAACAACACAGAAAACATCTTGAGGATAATGAAATCATGCAGGTGATAGCTATAAGCTACTTAGACAAATACACAATAACCCAACCACAAAGAATTGCCCTTAGCATGCATCTAAGGGGCAAGGCTGTGTTTCAAGCTGCTCCAGTGTCAATGATACGTGTTCCTCATGCTACCGCTGGATTTGTCATGTGAGATCTTTACAACTGCTGAGGCAACGACGAGATAAAATGCCTGCAGTGTGGTTCCAGAGTTGAAAAGGCTGGAAGAAGCCACAGCAGAACAACGTGCCAGGCTGCTGTCAACTTATGGTGGCAACACACAGCAAAACCGTCACCAGAACCTGAGCCCAGGGCTGCAAATGAAACAACAGCCACCTCCTGCTTCCACATCATCAGTTTCTATCCTACCAAGTTGGCCACTTTTGCCTCAATGGGACAAACACCTTTTTAGAGGTCACTGAAATAGAGGTAGTTTATTTATACATATGGGGTTTTCAAGGCAGCCTCAAAGGACAGGTTCCAACACTGCATTTTAATTGTCTTTTGATGCAACAAATCTTAACGTACCAAAATCTGACCAGAGAATAGCACACGATGGAGAATAACAGGACTAAACACCTATTCTGCTGTGCCACAGATAAGCATGACCAGAGGGTGCCACACTGAGATCAAGCACATCGTAGACGGACAAACCAGGAGGCAGTGGAAGCCACCCCAGAAGGATACAACTCTTAGTCCTCTTTCGATGGGGTCTGTCAGAAGGAGGCCCTGAGGAGCATAGATCTTCTCATTCTGTTCCTGAATGAACTTGGCAATTTTCTTTAGAACCTGGTAACACAGCAGCACAGAAGTCAGTGGGTTTCCCTACATCAGTGTTCAAGCCCCAGCAATACCAACGTTAGGGGAACCGAGCACACAGCTCGAGACAGGACTTGCAGGATTCCTGATGTACAAGCAATGATTACATGACTCAACCTAAGTCTGATGTACCTATGAAATCACAGTGCAACAAGGTCCAGAGCCTGCGGGGAACGTGTCTGCAGGTCACAACAGAAAACCCACCAAGACACAAGGGTGGCTGCAGCCCATGGGACTCGCTCACGCTGCCTTTGCCTACCGGGGCAGAGAAAGCAGCACACCTTTTCGTAGTGCGTTTCCATGCACAAGAAGATGGTGTAGGCAGTCAGGCAGGCGAGACATCCTTCAAGGTAGGATTGGCCCCCAAGTTTTTCAGCTTCTGCATAGAGGTTGTTCAGCGTCCGGACAGTCTCTTCAAACTGCTGCCTATCAATCTGCAAGAGAAGTCACGTTCAGTTGTCACACCCTGCACGTTACGGACTCACTGATACCTTCAGGCATCTACCTTCATTTAGTGCTTATTTGCACTTCCACACTTTGCAGCCGCTGTCTAGAGCCAGAGTCTGAAGGACACCGAGTTACAGACCTGTAGCTCTTTGTTAAGGGTCTGCCCAGTGGTGAGACCAAGTCTTGATTCCAACACAACATGAACACAAAGCACTTAAAAGTAACAGAACTAAAGCAACATGCATTTCAATTGGGGAAGGGGGGGCTTAACTCACATGCAAGGAGAACAGCCTGGGAGTGGACTGACAGAGGCAAGTCTTTTGTATTGACATTATATCAATAACACCTTGGTGCTGGTCAAACAAGTTCTCGGAACAAAGCAAAGCAACGAGGAAGAGGAGCAAAGTGCAGCAAGAAAAAGCATTCGCAAGGAGTGTCTGTTGCTGTCAGTTACATCCAAAAGCATGAAACGAAACGCAAGTACTTGAGACGGTACTTGTGGGGCTCAGCACAGAGAGGACAGTGTTAGCAATAGCCACACAACACAGGCTTTGTTCTCACGTAACAAACACACTCTAGTTTCCTACCAGAGAAGACAGCTGCGTGCCTGAGGAGTAAAACTAGCTCAAAACACCAGCATTTCACAAGCACCGAAGAGAAGCATTTTTAGGTACTTTTCACGTGGCTTTTCACTGCAAATTCGAAGTATTTTCTTACCATAATTGACCAACACCTCCATTTAGACAACAAAAATAACCCCCAAACCCGCTTTTCTGCCCTCCGACAACATCCAAAGCAGGATGTGCCTTTGGATCTTGAGACCGCGCCTCTCCCATGCGCGTTCAGACCCGTTCTTCACCTCACCGACGGGCGTCACCCCCCGGGACGGCCACAGAGGGAGAAACCGCGTCCCCTTGCACCGCACAGGCCGGGCCTCGGCGGAGGAGCGAGC